ACGGTGGCCAATTTACCATTTCAACTTTGTTGATATATTCAAATTACTTTTTACGGAACTTTTTTAGTTTTACTACACGATCAGAAAGTGGAATGTTAAGTGAAATCCAGCCGAATTGTGGCTCATAAAAGCACACAAGTTTTTGTACATGATCATTATAAAACAATGTGTATTTCATGAATAAACGACAGCTGAATTCTCAGGAACATGAAGATTACTCGCGATGACATGCGCAGCGTCGTAAAACTCGGCTGCTGTGATCAAACTTGTCAAATTATAGGGGAAGTAAATTCGGTAGTAGTCTTATTTTATCTTGTCGAATATTTCAGCGACCACCTCATGTAATTTTGACAGTGGACTGTGCTCTGGTTGGTGGCAGTCTTACTCGGATGTCTTTGACTGGACATTACGAAGTGGATCAACGCCATCTTCTAATACAGGCCCAGACAACGATCACACTTCAGGCTATGGTAAGACTCCGTAAAACTAACCTCTACGATTACATTTCAGTTTCTCTGTTTAACGAGATCGTAAAATGTTAGAGGAACTCATACTCCTTTTTTTTCTTCTTTGCGAACGTTTTTTGTTGTTCTTCAACTATACAAGTCCATTTGGTAATAAGAACCGTAAAGAATTGAAATTACCAGAGTAAGTGAGTCTTCTTTTTCTCAGCTGCTATTCTGTCCCCTTTTTTTTTCCAAGAAATAAAGTCATAGGCCTATGGCGGATGTTTTCCTGCTCTTACATGTAGTGTCGACGCTGCAGGCCATTGGGGAAAAAAATAATCTTTTGTTGGCAAAGACAAGTACGCACAGCCCCAGCACCCTGGCCTTCGAGCCGGCCCTCATAACTAGCGCTGCAGCACGAGTTCTATTTAGCCCGCGGGCAGGTTTAAGGCTTTGAGAAGTGTGAGCCATCAAGGGCTCTGTAAGGTATCTGGCACTAGTAACGAGGGACTGCAATGACGACATTGTTATTGCTTTCCGTGCGTATTTTTGCCCTTCTCTAAGGCCTAATATCGTGGTACGTTTTGTGAGTTCTATTACCCTAATAATAATATTAATAATAATAATAATGATGATGATGATAAGAATATATTAACAATATCAATTAAAATAGCTCTATTCACCTTATCTTTCATATCATAAATTGGCGTGAAAATCATGTTGTATATCATATCTCTTTTCGATTTTAATTTCCTTAGGGTACTATATGTACATTGAAGCGACTGGGCAAAACAATGGTGATAATGCCAAGCTGATGCTAAATTTAAACGGAGGCGGAGAACTCTCGTGCCTTAAGTTCTATTATCACATGTATGGCGCTACTATTGGGGCACTTAATGTCTACAGTGAAAATTATTTATTATTCAAGGCTGCTGGAAACCATGGAAACTACTGGTTTAAGGCTGAAAGGACATTTTATTCGAAGACAACGGTAACTCTTGGTGGACGAATTTATCTTTTTTTAAAAGGAAGTAATTCTTCTAAATAGATCGTAAGGCGAAGAGACAGTTTTGATAATAATGACCATGCTTGTTATGGGCAAGTATCATTTTCATCTAAAAAATCCGATAAACAATAACCACACACGCACACGCCTCGGCAAGGAGGATTTTCGAGCAAAGCCAGATGATTATCTAGACTCCTTTTTGGTACAATATTGATTGTGTTTAATCAAGTACTCTTGTGAAGAAACACGCCCTAAACATGCCCGCACACAAAGATGCATACGCGATTCTTTCACTAGAAGGATTTTGGTCCTATCCTGCTTTTAATCCATACCCATTAGCGTTTGGTCACTGGTGGAAAGTCGGCTTTATCTTTTCCCTACTAAATCTAAAGCAATTCATCAAGATATCCGTCCTTGCTTTTGCAGTTGACATTTGAAGGAATAGTGGGATATTCCTTCACTGGTGACATAGCCATTGATGACGTCTCGATAACCAGAGGAAGCTGTTCAGGACAGACTCCGCCTCCTACATGGTATCCAGTTCCGACTACCC